GTCCTTTGTGTACCCCAGTCCGTTGTGATACCAATGTCTATTTCGTTACTTTTTATAGTTTTTGTTAAAAAAATCCTAAAATGATTTTACTATCACTTGGTAATACCTGTTTATAAATTAGAGTTTAACTCACTAATACAGTGACTAAAAGAAAATACTAATAGTATTGTTTTTTTAACAAAGAATCGGAATGTTGTCTTTTAAAAAGTAACTTAACTAACATAAATATTTAAAAAAGGCATACAATTTTTAATAAAAAATAAAATTGGAGTCAAAAGTTGGTGAACTAAGTACATTTTATTTCAAATTATTTTTATAACAACTTTTTTTAGATTTCAAATTGGTAACACAGTGGAGACCTATAAAGCTAGCTAAACACATTTTTCTGAAAAAAAACGTAAAAAAAATTAAAAAGTGCACTGCCTGTCTTAAATGTAAGTAAACAAAACTCTAAACATTTATAACAATCCAACCAAAAGTCAATTTAAGCAAAAAAAAATTTGATCTTTATTTTCCTGAAAGCGGGTGTTTCTTGAAAATGACCCATATATAAAAAACCTTATGTAGGTACATTCGTTTTTTATTAATTTATATTATTAATGATTTTTTTAAATGTTAATCGATTTGGTCAAACAAGCCCTTAAATTGAAGGTATTTGAGCCTCTAAAACTTTCTTTTACATATTTTTGATATCGGATTTGATATCGCTAGCGATTTTAATAACTTAAAAAATTCGTTTTATGGCAAAAATTGAGGTCGAGAATTTACATATCGCCATGAGAAAGGTTTAAATCAAACAGATAACTCCGGTTTGAATTTTTTTCGTGAGGCTGACATTTTTACAAAAAAAAACAAGCTAATGTTGATAAAAATAGATGGAAAAATGTTATGAATTTTTTAGTGGAAGACCAAAAAACTTTTATTTTATTTTTTTCCTTTTATTTTGTAATATGTTTAGGTATTCTTTAATGAAAACCACGCAAACGTGAATTCTTTTGTTTCTCGTTTTGGCATAGTGACATTTTACTGATTTTTTTTGATATTTCAACAAGGTATTTTTATCATGGTTTTATTCAGTTAATAAAAAGTGTAAAATAAGTAAAAGAAGTAGAGAGTTCGAGTGCGTAAATAACCCGCACAATCTGGGCGACGTAAGTGATGAGCACGGAGAACGTTTTCACCAGCAAATGAAGGCTATGGAGCGGCGGTATCACGGCTTCTGGGATGCAGCCATGATGGGTGATTACATTTGGTCCCTCATACGAGAAACGGAATACGAAAGCAACAAAAACAAAGAAGGAGCCAGAATTTTTTTAAACCCATGCTTATTACAACAAAATAAAACTTTCAATTTCTTCAATGTTCAATATTAAATTTTATATAATTCAATAAAATGAAGAACAATTAATATCTATTTATTTATTTGTTTCAGTAAACTTATCGGTAGCTGATACGATGGTTTCCACATTGAATGTAATTTTTAATTACATCTACATGCTGAACTCTCATTGGCCCTTTGGTGAACTCTACTGCAAAGTGTCGCAATTTATTGCGGTGCTATCAGTTTCGGCTTCAGTCTTTTCGCTTATGTCTATCTCGATTGACAGGTACGTAATCCTATTTCTGTACGTAAACGTTTAGTTTCCACCCGCATAAAATGCACATTTAATCCTTTAATATATATCACAGTGACATAGAGGGGTTTTGTCTTTTTCTTTACATCCTCGTTATGTATTATGTAAAGGGGTTTTTTGAAGGTAGTAGCACATCAGCTTTGAAAAAAGGGTAAAGTAGACAGTTATCGGACAATTAACATTAATACTGTAAAAACAAGAGTTCTATAAATACACTCACGTGCACGGATCGATGGATCGATTATTTTGCATGCAAAATAATCGATCCACACAAATTTTCGATGAATTTCAATCAAAAATAACTTTTTTATTTGATGTCCGATTTAAACGAATATTAAAGAATATTGTAGATAAATTAATGGACAATCGCTCACATTTTAAAAAAATACTAAAAAATGGACGTACGTTTATAATATACAGGTTTAAACAAAAAGATGTTTTTTACCATAAGTTTAAGACACTCTGTAGAGTGGCAAAACCGTATATTGTTCTAAATTAAGTTTTATTTATCAAGTCACATCTATTCTTAACAGTTTTGTTTTTGGTTCACCTCGATATATTTATTTTTGTGGAAAATATGGATTTTTTAAAAAACTTTGCAATTTCCAATATTTTTTTGTATGAAGAAGTAAGGTTGCTATGGTCCATCCATATGCTATGGAGAATGACAGTGACAGTTTTGTTGAATCATCCCATACTTGGACATGTCATACACGGCTTTCAAAAGCTATCAAATTGTTTTTTGAAAATTAATGTTTAAATTTTGAGGTGTCTTCTTGTCTGATGTTGCCAGAGCCATTAATTTAATCCAGGATGGACGGTCAAAGTATTACGTTTTAAACGTCATAAGAAGTAAAGTACAAAGGGCAACATCAGTCGGAGACATTTTTAAAAGTAAGAAGACACCTTAAAATTAACACATTAATTTACAAAAATTAATTTGATAGCTTTTGAAAGCTGTATATGACATGTCCAAGTATGGGATGATTCAACAAAACTGTCACTGTCATTCTCCATAGGCTATGGATGGACCATAGCAGCCTTAGTTCTTCATACAGGAACAATATTGGAAATTGCAATGTTTTTTAAAAAAATCCATATTTTCCACAAAAATAAATATATTGAGGTGAACCAAAAACAAAACTGTTAAGAATAGATGTGACTTGATAAATAAAACTTAATTTAGAACAATATACGGTTTTGCCACTCTACAGAGTGTCTTAAACTTATGGTAAAAAACATCTTTTTGTTTAAACCTGTATATTATAAACGTACGTCTATTTTTTAGTATTTTTTTAAAATGTGAGCGATTGTCCATTAATTTATCTACAATATTCTTTAATATTCGTTTAAATCCGACATCAAATAAAAAAGTTATTTGCGATTGAAATTCATCGAAAATTTGTCTGGATCGATTATTTTGCACGTGAGTGTATTTTGGGGTTTCGGTGAAAAACAAAAAATAGTCGTTTAAATAAAACACCCCAATAATAAAGTATTTAAGAAAAAATAAATAAAAAAGAAAAGCCTTAAATTAAAGTTAAATAAAACATATACTGAATGTAGCAGGGTATATGCATAGAAATAGGTAATTAGGCAGAAGTAGCAGACCTATGGCGGATTTGAATAATTAAGCGGAATTTTAAGAGCAAAGAGCGTTCGGCTTTTATCATAAAAAGCATAACTTTTCGTTTATGCAACAAACTTTAACAGGAAAGCATTCTGATAATGTAAAATTTTGTTTATTTTTGTAATTTATTACGTAGGTAGTTTCGTAAATGTGTTGCTTAGCACCCAGGTTTTATTTTATGGATAATATAAGTAGCTGGCTGTATTTTTTAATAAGACTGATTCCCCGTCCATGAGTAACATTGGTAAAGAGATCAAAGAAGATTCTAATGAACTTTTTTTTTTGTTCTACACAGTAAAAAATTTTGCCCGTGTAAATTTTTTAGTGTAGGGGTAAAAATATTAAAGTTGATTTGTAAGTGTAAAAGTTACACTACAAAATACACTAGGTAGCATTTAATGCTTATTAACTTTATTAAACACATTTAAAGAATATGAACATTATTCATTGGTACATTCACACTATTTATTATTAAAATAAATCAAAAGGGTAGAAAAACTTAATGCGAGTGTTTATTACCCTTTAATATGTTAAATAGTGACAAAATGTACACTACAGTGCATGCCAATTTCTTTGTTTGTTTTGATGTTACTAAGAGCTCTTTTTTCTTTACACTACTAGTGCACATTTTATCACAATTAAAGTTAAATTACACCAATAATGGCAAAATAGACTGAAAAAACTGGTAATAACCGAAATGCGTTTTAAAATGTTTGGTTTGTACCTATCTACCTACGCAGTGTTATCATGAGATACCGCGTTGCGGAAGTGTGGCATTTTTGTTCAGTAAGATTTTAATTACAGTGAATCCATAAGAGGACATTCATATTTTTTGGTAAGTAATATACTTTTTCTTTAAGCCTTAATACTCAATAAATACCAATATGTTAAAAGGATGTCCATACCCGACCTATATTATATATCAATAATTTACGGCAGTAGGTCGGGTACTTGTAAAATTAATAATATAAATACATACACACTTGATTTACTTTTTATTTTCAAGCGTAATGGTTGTTATATTAACCTATACCTACATTTTTATTAATATTATGGAAAATTTGTACACGTGTAGTAAATCCCCGACATACAGCCGCCTGACGCCTCTCTACCAATGGGATCACCAATTTTGTATAACAGAAAAATGGATTACTGACAAATTCTCAAGATAATTCATTGCTTACAAGTTGACAGCCAGTAAAACATTGCATTGATCTAAAACTTTTACGTTTTAAGGAACCATTTTGCTTAAGCCAGCCATACAACTCAAATATAAAATTATATTTTAAAAGGCACCGATTTTGATAATTGTCATAGATTTTTGTTCCAAATAAATGTTTCTCTTTATTTACCTTTTCGTTTTATTCACTACCACCAATAGGTTTCACTCAAATAATAGTGTTAATTTACACTAGAAGTTTGCACTAAAAGAGTAAAAGTACCTTTCTAAAATTAGAACCTTTCCAAAGTAGTGTTAATTTACACTGAACAAAAGTGGGATTTTACCCAGGAAGTGTAGAATTACTTTATCCTCAGTGCTATAGTGTTAAATCATACTTGCTTACTTGGGGAAAATTACACTACAAATTAACTCTAATTGTAGTGTTATAAAACAACACTATTTAGTGTGGACCTGTGTGAACTCTAATTAGTGTTGCTTAGAGTTGATTATTTTTACTGTGTTTGGTTTTCGATTAAAGAATTCATTTGTTTCTATATTTAGATACTTGGTGATAATGACCCCACTTCGGCCGAGAATGGGTCGCACAGTGACCCTCGTGCTTGCCATGTCCACCTGGGTGATGGGGGTCATTCTGGGTATACCGTCTTTGATCTACTACAAGACCTACACTCAACCCTACCCGGACGGCGAGGAAAGGGTCATTTGCTACCCAGAATGGCCCGATGGGGTCACCAACTTGTCCATGATGGAATACATGTAAGAATTATATAAGATTTTTTATACAGGGTGTCCTGGAATAGAGAGAAAATAGTTTGAATACTTTTTATAGTGATTTTTTTAAACATATGCCAAAATGAGTAGGTACTATGCTCCACACCTCAAAGTCCCACCACGTGACCACGTACGGAACGCAGTCTTTTGAAAATTTGGTATTTAAGGCTTTTCAGCTTATGTATCTGTCAAAGAATAGTCAAAGAAAGAAATAATATTATGTTTAGGCGTTAAAAATGTATAAATCTTTATAACATTACAATAACAATGGATGGTTTAAGAATTTAAGAAAATAAATACTGCATTTAATGAAATTCTAAAGTGTATGGTGCCAAATAAGTAATATTTTTGTGCATTTGGTCCAAATATCTGGTTTTCTCCATAAAATAATTTTAACCAAACAGCATTTATTTAAAAAAATCTAGCTTCTCTATTATGGAATAAAAATATCTGTATTAAAGGTAGGTTAATATATTATAACAAAAATATCATCTAATTTTGTAATTTTAAGGTTAGAAAAATTTATTTTGACCAAAATAAATAAGTATTTTGGATTATTTAAAAGACTGTATAAATGTGGTAGTTTTTCTTATCCAGCTTAAAGTGTACCTACATAAAGTTTTGTCAATACAAATAGTTAAAAAGCTTCGACTGAACTTGATCTACATCGAAAAATCATTATAACTTTAAAAATTTTAATAAATCACATCTCATGGGAGTATTAAATATTTTCACATTGCAAGTTTCTCTAAAAATTGTTTGTTTTCTTATAATCTAGATTAAAGTAAGTATGCCGAGAGGTATGCACAAGTTTTGTCGTTAGAAGTATAAAAGCATATTTAATTTGAACTATATTCAACAATTATTTAGTATACCTATATTTATTTATGACCATATTAACACACTCTTTCAAATAATCCACTTATTTATTTTGGTCAAAATAGATTTTTCTAACCTTAAAATACAAAATTAGATTATATTTTTTGTTCTAATACATTAACCTACCTTTGATACAGATATTCTTATTTCATAATAGAGAAGATTTTTTTTAATAAATGCTGTTTAGTTAAAACTATTTTATGGAGAAATGTAGACCCAATGCACAAAAATATCACTTATATTGCACCTTACACTTTGGAATTTCATTAAATGCAGTATTTATATTCCTAAATTCTTAAACCAACCATTGTTATTGTGATACTATAAAGATTCATTAACTTTAAACGCTTAAACATAAGCGGTAACACTATAAATATTATTTCTTTCATTGACTATACTTTGACAGATACATAACCTGAAAAGCCTTAAATTCCAAATTTTCAAAAGACTGCGTTCCGTAAGTGGTCACGTGGTGGGACTTTGAGGTGTGGAGCATCGTACATACATCTCTCTAAATTTTCTTTGCTTATTAATTTCAGATTTAACGTAGCATTCTTGATTATCACTTATTTAGTGCCCATTTTATCGATGACATACACGTATGCAAGAATTGGTGTTGAATTGTGGGGTTCACAAAGTATCGGGGAGTGTACCTAGCGCCAGATGGACAACATCAAAAGCAAAAGAAGGGTAAGTCCAACTTTTCAATTGTGTATTATAGTATTTATTCATATTTTTAAAGACGATAAATCAATCAATCAATCATCTGAATTTTAAATATATTAATTAAATACTTGAAAATATTTTCGCAAAATATAGTTAATCAAAGTACTTTTAGTATTATTTCAGAGAAACATAAATTAATCAAACATAATAGTACAAATGTCGATAGATTAAATATGTATTCAGAGACCAACACAAAAATTTTGTAGGGATATAATTAAGTTAATATAAACTTAAAACATAAATTACAAACTAAAGTAAATAGTAAGCTGATCAATAATGTAGCACAGTAGGAACATACAAACACTTTTTATCCTCATTTGATCACCAGGTCATAATTATTGATTTATTCCAGTCCCTGAATAATTTTGCAAATACCTACCTACCTATTCGGAAAAATAATATTTAATAATTAATCACCAGAAATGTGGTACCAACCTTACAATGATACACTTCCTAACAATAACTAAAACTGCAAACTGATGATGCAGATTGCAGTTGAGCGACCGGCCGGCGTCTTATTTCAAGCGGGAAATCATTTCATTTAGTCTAAGATCCCAAGTAAGGTCGACCTTCACCCATCTGCTTACCAGATGAAAATTATATTTTATCAAATAAAATATGTTTCTGAACATAAACCAATAGGGTTGCCATAAAAAATATGATCATGGCTAGCTATAATAAATAAAAAATTAAGAAAATAATTTATTTTTTAAATTTCACCGACTTGCTTGCCAAATGAACGAAATTCCAATGGAAAGCATAAAACATACAGAATATGCAACAGCTAGGTTGCCTACCTTTTTCTGGTCCCTATTACCTGGTTGCTTTGTACAGGGTGATCCCCTATAATGTCGCCCCCCTTTAACTTTTTTATTTTAAGTGTCCCAAAAAATTTAAAAGTGTGGTTATGTAGGAACTAAAAAATACTTTTTTTCTACGTATAAAGAAAATTGGAAAATTGATCAGTATACAGGGAAAACAAACAAAAAGTTTATTTTTTTCAATGGATCACCCTATATATGAATTTATTTTTCGATTCCTTGTAAAATTCTAAGCATATTTCATATATCATACCATATACCTAAATTCAACCGTTTCTGAAATATTTAAATTATTTTTAAGATAATAAGTTGAAATAGTTTGTTTTTCTCTGTCTGAGTACGCCATTTTTACTTATTTAACAACACTTATTGACATAATGTCACTATAGTAATTTATTTTCAATAAAAATTTTGGTATACTGAGGCTTCTTGATTTCTAACAGTTTAAAAAAACATTTAATGATGACATTTCGAATGCGAATATTTCAGAAACGGTTGAATTTAGGTATATGGTTTGTTATATAAATTATGCTCAGAATTTTACAAGGAATCGAAAAATAAATTCATATATTCGGTGATCCATTGAAAAAAAATAAACTTTTTGTTTTTCCCTGTATACTGATCAATTTTCCAATTTTCTTTATACGTAGAAAAAAAGTATTTTTTAGTACCTACATAACCAAACTTTTTAATTTTTTGGGACACTTAAAATAAAAAAGTTAAAGGGGGGCGACATTATAGGGGATCACCCTGTACAAAGCAACCAGGTAATAGGGACCAGAAAAAGGTAGGCAACCTAGCTGTTACATATTCTGTATGTTGTATGCTTTCCATTGGAATTTCGTTCATTTGGCAAGCAAGTCGGTGAAATTTAAAAAATTAATTATTTTTTTTTAAATTTTTTATTTATTATAGCTAGCCTTGATCATATTTTTTATGGCAACCCTATTGGTTTATGTTCAGAAACATATTTTATTTGATAAAATATAATTTTCATCTGGTAAGCAGATGGGTGAAGGTCGACCCCACTTGGCAAGGATCTGTTGCTTAAACGTTTTATTACTGTTAACGAGTTACTGTAACGTGTCCAATAAGGTAACATAAACGTAACGGCATCGTCACAGTTACAGTTAATGTCCGCCTTCTGCAACGTTACATTGTGACGGTATTTTTAAAACGCTTATGTAACGTTCCGCTTGTGATGTTACATATGGTGGTACCGCGCAGCATCTATTTAACGTTATTATCAAAACGTTTATGTAACGTTCCGGTTGTGGTGTTACATATGTTACGTTGGCATAACAGTGGCGGCTGCTGGATTTTGCGTATACCGATATCTTAGTTATTAGACATGGTACCCATTCCAAATTTATATGAGTTTATAATGACACTAATTTAACAAGTTCTGCACAAGCAGAATTCAAATATAAGTTTGCGAAAAAAAAATAGTTTTTGCTCCGCCTACCCTGCAGCCTAGCTAATAAAGATAATACAAATTTAAGTAGGTATATATACTTAAATTTGGATTATCTTTATTAGGGCCAGTGCAATTTATAATTTACCATAGTTTATCAACAAATTTTAAATCAAAATCCAAATATTACAGATTGTATACCATTTTACATTTTTATTTCTTTTCCTAAAATATAAAATAATATGGGATAAAATATGTAATATTTGGATTTTTTAAATAAATTTTGAAATTTTTATTATCTTTATTATGGGGGCTAGGCTGCAGGGTAGGCAGAGTTAAAACTATATTTTTTTCGCCAAATTCTATTTAAATTGTTAATTTAGTGTCATTATAAATTCATATAAATTTGGTGTCTAATATCTGAGATATGGCATATGCAAAATCCACCAGCCGACACTGTGGTAATAATGTAATTTATGAAATAAAAATGTTTCACTTATAATTATAAAAAAATTATTAAATATTTTAACAAAACTATGGTCATTTCCCAGGTACGTTTCTGACGTTTAAATAACGTTGCTATAGCATTATAACGTCATTTAAACGTCAGAAGACGTCATATAAACGTCAGCAAACGTCAGTGTGCTACCTGGGTTATTCAACGGCATTTTTTTCAATTGCAACTTTTTCCCGTTTTAATCGCTGGTTTCCTTAACGGAAAAAATCCATGGCGCTTTTCTCGAATATTTTCATTATTAGTGCCGGGTAGTACCGTTTTACCACGCCTAGGCATAAAAGAAAATAAGTTAAAAGACATATTCATTCAATGTACCATCAAGTTTTAAAAGTTACTCATGTATATGTGTATGTATTAATAATACATTTATTTTATTTCTTTTTTTTATAAGAAAACTATAGAAGAGTTACCAATTTATTGTAAATATCTTCCGCAGTTAACACATTCTCCAGTTGTTTAAGTTGTTCCAATGTGTTGCATGGCAATTGAGGTCCTACATTTTCGACTCCCTCCTGCGGATACTGCACGTTTACAGAAAGCTCCAGTTTGTTAATCTTGTCTAGCAACAGTTTCTGTATAGTTTGAATATTTATCAAGTAATTAATGACGCGTGACTCGACTAAAAAAT